CCATAAATCAGTGTTTGCTATGCACCCAGATAATAACAAAATGTATCGGGATTTGAAGCAAAGCTATTGGTGGCCCAAAATGAAGAAAAAGATTGCAGAGTATGTGTCCAAATGTCTTCAATGTCAGCAAGTTAAAGGTGAACATCAGAAACCAAGCGGTCTACTTCAACCTGTCCCTATTCCTGAATGGAAGTGGAAGCATGTGACTATAGATTTTGTTGTTGGTCTACCTCGGACTCCTCGAGGTATGGATTCCATTTGGGTTATAGTTGATAGACTAACTAAATCTGTACATTTTCTGCCTGTTAAGACTACATTTGATGCATATAGATTGGCTACTATATATGTTGATGAGATTGTCCGTTTGCACAAAGTTCCGGTATCTATTGTGTCGGATAGAGATCCAAAATTTGTATCTAGATTGTGGAAGAGTCACAGATGGGCAATCAGAACGGACAATACAGACCTTGGAAGATATGCTAAAAATGTGTGCCTTGGATTTTCAAGAGAGTTGGGAAGATTATTTGCCACTAGCAGAGTTTGCATATAATAACAACTTCCACCCCAACATCGGTATGGCACCATACGAGGCTTTGTATGGTAGAAAATGTAAATCACCAATTTGCTGGACAAAGATCAGAGATAAGGCTTTATGTGGGCCCGAAATTGTGCAAGACACTTCTGAGAAAATCAAAATTATTCAACAAAGGCTCAAGACGGCTCAGAGTTGACAGAAGAACTATGCAGATGTTCGAAGAAGACCACTTGAGTACGAGGTTGGTGATCATGTATTTATTTGGGTGGTTCCAATGAAAGGCCAATTGAGATTTGGTAAGAAGGGTAAATTGTCACCCTGTTACATTAAGCCATTTCAAATTCTGGAAAGACTTGGTCCAGTTGCTTATAAGATTGCTTTACCGCCGGGATTCGAACAAATGCATAATGTGTTTCATGTATCGATGTTGAAAGGTTATCTTCGAGATCCATTTCATGTGATTGATTACCATCGGATAGCTCTCGATGAAAATATAGAATACGAAGAATGGCCAGAACGAATCATTGATCGGCAAGTGAAACAGTTCAGAAATAAGTCTATCCCAATGGTGAAGGTAGAGTGGAAAGAACACTATGGGACGGACGCTACATGGGAAAAAGAAGATGAGATGCGACTACGCTACCTACACTTGTTTCCGAACTTAGGTAAAATAAGTTTGGAGGACCAAACTTCCTAAAGGGAGGAAGATTGTGATAACCCTGTCTTGTGTTAAGTTAATTAATCGTGATCATATTGTGATTATGTGATTAATTTGAATTTTGATGTTAATTGCATGATTATATGTGGATTTGGCCTTATATCTGTTCACCGTAGGAAAATCTATTCAACTTACTGTTGTGAACTGAAAATTGAAGGCCTTATTAGCCATAGAAACCGAAATTGACTACGCCATTGTGATTAGCGTAATTTTTAGAGCCTACGGTGAAATTTAATTGAAAATTCATTCAGATCAAAATAATTAGATTCAGCATGATTAAATTAGAGCATCATTACTTAACTTTAATCAATTTGATTAACCAAGCCTATAAATAGGCCTATATACACTCAAATTCTTTCTTTTGAACTCATCTTGGCTGAAATCAGACACTAGAGAGAGAAAAGGCCAGTTCTAGAGAGAGAAGAAGAGGAAAAATTATAGAATTGTCTCAAACCTCGAAGATTTGGAAGGCTAGGCTCAAGAGCTAACTAGAATTTGGAAGATTTGGACTCCTAGGTGAGTAATTGAGCTCAACTCATAAGTTTTAGTTTGCAATTGAGTGAATTCAAAAAATATATGTATCAAAAGAACAAGAATTGAGTTGATGATAATGAATTTGAAGATATCTAGTACATGCATGTGAGAGTTAGCCATAAATTTGCATATTTGAATGTGAAGCATGTTGATCATAATGAAATTGAGATTAATATGTGCATGCATGTAACAATTTGCTATGAGTTTTCATGTTTGTGTAGAAGACATGTTAAATAAGTTGAATTAGAAATCATTTAAGACATGCATCCATGAATAATGAGGTTATGAGACTCAACTACATGTTTTGAAGATGATGAACCCATGTAAGATCATACATGCATGAGTCTCAAAGGTATGAACATGGAATTGAATTATTTGAACTTGATTTTGGACATCAACCCATGATTTTGAGTAATTGGTTCCGAACTAAAAGTGTTTCCATGTCATGTAATGATTTTCCATGTTTTGCACCAAAAATTCGGGCTTTGGGCCTTTGAATACTGAGTTTGAGCTTCAAATGCAGTTCTGGAAGTTCCAGAATTCGGCATGTCCGCTCGAGCGGGGAAAGCGCCGCTCATGCATGAAATGTTAGCTTCCAGAAGTTTTGCAGACATTGATATCCGCTCGACCGTGATGAGTTGAGCTCGAGCGCCCAGACACATGTTTTGACTCTCAGCTCGAGCGGCCAAAGTCACGCTCGAGCTCAAAAAAGGGGCAACCCGTACTTTTGCAAACAAAAGGGGTCCGCTCGAGTGGCCAAAGCTGCACTCGAGCGGAAAACCCTGTTTTAGAAATTTTGAAAAATGATTTTGTGTTTTGTTTTCCGTTCTCTTTCATTTCTAAGCACTCTTAGGCATGCATTGAACATTATAAATGAGCTAAAAGGATAAGAAAGAAGCCTAAGAAGGATGTATAAATTAAGAACGGATTGACTCGCTTGTGACTCATTATGTTTATAAAATGTGTAAGGTCAAGCATAAGGACAAATCATCTAGCAGATCACTGTGAGTAAATATCTTAGTAAAGATATGTTCAAGTACGTTATTTTACAAACGTTACTTCTGTATGAGCCTTATGGATTTGTAAGTTGAATTATGGATGAATATTTCCAATGACGGTTTTTTGCATAAGACTAATTGAATATAAATACAAATATGATCATGATCAAGGGTACGAGACACAGATGGATACGAATATGGAAATGAATTAGGGCTAAGGCCGTCTGATTATTATGATTGGGCCAAAGGCCGTTTGAATATTATAATTAGGCCAAAGGCCGTTTGATATGAATGCTTGGGCCAAAAGCCGTTTGGATATTATGATTGGGCCAAAGGCCGTTTAAATATTATAATTGGGCCAAAGGCCGTTTGACATGAATGATTGGACCAAAAGCCGTTTGAATATTATAATTGGGCCAAAGGCCATTTGACGTAAATGATTGGGTCAAAGGCCGTTTGAACATTATAATTAGGCCAAAGGCCGTTTGAATATTATAATTGGGCCAAAGGTCGTTTGACATGAATGATTGGGCCGAAGTCGTTTGACACGAGCGAATTGGGCCTAAGGCCGTTTGATATGTTTGGGCCCAAGGCCGTTCGATGGCCATTTGATATGTTTGCTACAAGTTTCATTCATGTAACTCCTTTATTTTGATATTATTTGACATGGATAGGCCCACAAGGCATACGGCCCACAGCAAACCACCCCAAACCCATCGCTTGGGACCAATAGCATACCCCGGTTGGCAAAGCCCAGGACAGCTGGAGGCCATCTAGACATGGGGGGCCAATGGCATTCGGGCACATGGCTGGTGGAGCACAGGCCACATCAGCAGACAAAGATCTGCAGAGTTATTACCACAACACATCACCATTAATGCAGCCCATCACAGCATTTATTACGACAAATAAGGAGTGTCATTTGGTCTTGTAAGATAAGAAGTTTTGAATATAACAGAAATATATTCCTTCTTCCTCATATTTTTCGGAGTTCTTCTTCTTCATATTTTCTAAGTTAAATGATTGGGTCAAAGGCCGTTTGAACATTATAATTGGGCCAAAGGCCGTTTGACGTGAATGATTGGGCCAAAGGCCGTTTGAATATTATAATTGGGCCAAAGGCCGTTTGACATGAATGATTGGGCCGAAGGTCGTTTGACACGAGCGAATTGGGCCTGAGGCCGTTTGATATGTTTGGGCCCAAGGCCGTTCGATGTATTAGATAGAAACATAATCGGGCTTATGGCCATTTGATATGTTTGCTACAAATTTCATTCATGTAACTCCTTTATTTTGATATTATTCATTGGGCTATTGCTCACTCTCATTTACATGTGTGTAGGTGAGTAAAAAGATGTCCAAACCCAGCCTCAGTGAAAGATATGAGAGGAAGTTAAGTCGTGGAGTCAGACCGAACGTCTCACGCATGAGACCTTGTTTTCTTTTGTTTTTTTGTTCACTATTTTGTTACCCTAGCGAAGATGTGGATCATCATGTATATAAGCTTTTTGTTTGGCTAACTATATATTTGAAAGTTCCTGGACACATAAGATGTTATTTCCGCCTACATGTGTGAGTTATTATGGATTGTTAATGGAGTGTTTTGCTTTACCATGTAAACATAACTCATTGGACAAAATTTTTAAGTCTGCTTCCGTTTTGACCCCTTATTCTATTGAAAATATGTTTGATCAGGTTTAAGGCCGTAGGTAATCCCTTGATTACTAGCCAGTTATGACCTTAATCCATAGGGGCGGATTCGGGTCATGACAAGACGCATATAGACCTCCTCAGTGAAATGACCGTTAAGAAAAGCATTCTTAACGTCCATTTGATAGAGAGGGCAATGTCGAACAGCAACAACAGAAATCAAGGTACGAACAGTAGTCATCTTGACAACAGGGGCAAATGTCTCTTCATAATCAATACCGTACTCCTGCGAGAAACCCTTAGCAACCAAGCGAGCTTTGTATCGCTCGAGAGAATTATCAAAATGAGTCTTGACTTTATAAACCCATTTGCAACCAATCAAATTCTTACCAGCAGGCAAAAGAACCAACGCCCAAGTGTTAGTCTTCTACAAGGCAAATAACTCACCCTCCATAGCTTGAACCAAATTAGGATCTTGACAGGCGTCCATAGTTCTGAAAAAGAATGAATAACAGACAAAAAAGTACAATAGGAAACAAAAAAACATGTATTAGACCAACCCAACCTGTTTGAAAGACGACGCTCACGAGTAAGATATCGGTGTGCAGTAAGATCAGAGTCGTCAGAAGTAGAAGGAGCAGCAATAGGAGTAGAGATAACTGGTGGTGGGGGAGCCTTGCGACAAGAATAGACCAACGACGGAGGAGAAAAAGAAGCCGAAGGAGGAGATGGAGCCATAGGTGACGTAGTCGGAGAAGTAGGAATAACCTCAAGAGGATCAGTGGAGAGGGACTCAATAGGAGGGGTAGAAGGGGAAGAAGATAAAATGAGCTCGAGAGGAATAGTAGAGATATACTCATCAGACGAGACCTCAGAAGGAAATGGGTCAATATGAACCAAATCCTTTTTGGAAACTGGAGCAGTGAGAGGAAAGCTGAAAATAAGGCAGATGTTCGAGAAAAAAAAACATAACGGGAGACATAAAAACGACGGGAAACAAGGTCGTAACACCTATAGCCTTTCTGAGTAGGACTATAACCCAAAAAGACACAGAGGACAGACCGGGCACTAAGTTTGGTCCGATCTTTGCGGAGAAGAAAGACAAAACAAGCAGACCCAAACACATAAAGGAGGGAGTAATTAGAAATTTGGGAGAACAAAGTCTCATAAGGAGACCAATTAGAAAGAAAGGAAGTAGGCATGCAGTTGAGAAGAAAAGCAGCAGTAAGAACGGTCTTCCCCCAAAACGGAGCCAGAACTAAGGCAGAGAGAAGAAGAGACCAGCTGTCTCAAGGAGATGACGGTGTTTACGTTCAGCTCGACCATTTTGAGCAGGTGTATCGGTACAAGAAGTTTGGTAACTAGTACCCAAATTGGCCAAATACTCACAGAATTCATTTTTAAAATATTCCCCACCCAAGTCAGACCGTTACACTTTAATTGTAAACCTAAACTGAGTAGTAATCATAGACTGAAAGGTACGATATATCTGATAGAAATCGAACTTATGAGTCATGAGATAAAACCAAGTATAATGGGTGCAGTCGTTAACAAAAGACGCATAGTATGCAGAAGTCCCTTCGGTGAGAACAGGAGAAGGGCCCCAAACATTAGTATGAACTAAAGAAAACGGCGTATTAGATATAGAAATAATTTTACAAAAAGGTAAGGTAAGGCAGTCATTTTGACAAGTTTACTCCCCCGACGTTTAGTAAGTTCACTAAGAGAAACTTTACCCAATATACCTGATTGAGCTAAAGACTGTAAACGGTCAGTAGACAAATGTCCTAATCTAGAATGCCACAAATAGAAAGGACTCGACAAAGAATCTAACTGAAAAGAAGAGTAGGCAGTCAGAGAGGTTGTCATAGGCAGATGCAAGCTTTCCACTACATAAAGGTCCCTAACTCTACGGCCAGTCCCAATCTGTTGCTTGGACATTCGATCCTGCACAGAATAGATAGAAGAAAAAAAGATAACATCACAACCAAAGGCATCAAGCTGACTGATAGATAATAAACTGACAAATAACTAAGGAACATAAAGGACAGATGGAATAAAAACAACAAATATAGCAGATGGTATGATAGACCCAACAGATACAACAGACATACTAAACCCATTAACAACATTAATAGTAATAAGAAAGAGAGGGATAGTACAATTTTGAAGTAAAGAGAGATGGGGAGTCATATGATGAGAAGCACCAGAGTCAAAAATCTAGACAAACGAGGAGATACTTGAAGAAGACCCAAGCAAACCTTAATAAAGCGAGGAAACAATGGGGGCAGATGAAAATGGTTAGGAAGTAGACAATATATGCTGAAGCTGACAAATATGGGCACTCAAGAAAGCCAAGTCAGGATCAGGAGGTAGAGTAGATGCACTAGAACCGGCAGGAAATCGAAAAGTACACGGAGAAGAAGTTCTGAACTGAGACTGCTGAGTAGACGAGGCAGACAGATGTCCCTTTTGGGACAGTGAGACTTCCAATGACCCCTCTGATGATAGACAGCACACTCATCCGAAGCCAGAGACATCATAATCACCAAAAAACTAAGGGGTTCAATTGTAATAAACCCAAAATAGAACAAAACAGTCAAGCCAATGGTCTAGATGTAATAACCAAAAACTTGTGAACCAACCACAATCAGAATCAGAGCAAGACCCACAAAACCAAAGTCACAAATAGAGTCAGATCTCCAGACCACGCAAACTAAAGTCGGGAGATGGAGGGTGAAATCACGAAACAGATGCCAAAGAGTCACAAAGAGAACGATCAACAACAGTCGACAAAGTTGAAGGAGAGAACCAGTCACAATGAGCCGAAGACAGAAGACGAGCCGCGATGAGGAGTCGACTAGCAATCGCGAAGCACTGAGACGAAGAATCCAAATGGATCGACTACCAATAGCAAGTCGACTACCAGCCACGAACAGATGGGTCACGAATCAGATGGGTCACAAACAAGAGAGCAATGGAGATGGTGAACCACGTGAGCCAATGAACCTCATCAGAACTTCAGACCAGTTTAGTGAAATTATACCTACGAAGTTCGATGGTGAACCACGTAAGTCGATGAACCTGATCAAACTTCGAACCAGACAGAACAAGAAGGATATCGCAAATCGAGAGAGAGGGAGAACTCTATTGATTCGTGACTCAGAAACCAGCTAGGGTTGTGAACACAGCTCTGATACCATGTAAGTTTTCTGTATATTCAACTTGTGTTTGTTTACAAAGAGTTCATCAGTTCATATAACCCTAAATCTATGACAGAAAAATGAAATAAAGATTCCTACTTACACCACAATCCTTCCTAATGCCTAATTCCTAATATACACAATCATGTCATATATACAATATATTCTCACAGTAATACCTTTTAAATTCTATTAGAATGGATCATGACGGAAGCAGAACAATACTGAAGCAATTGAACATAATTATCCAACATTCCACCACATGTTTGGGTGATAATGTTAGACAAAATTTCTTAGTGACAATATGATAAAAAAACAAAAAAAAAAGCCTTTATAAGCTCTGGTCTAAGAGCTGGCATGAGGTGAATTGAGCTGTTGTCGTATAGATGAGTTAGAAATTCTAATAAACAGAAGAACAGGCTCATGCAGATCACTTCAAAATAAATTGTTAACCATCATGGAGTGATGTGATAGCTTCCAAACAACCAAAATATTCCAAGTTTATCCGTAAATATACTTCAAAGTTTTAACTTCATGACCAATGTGATGGTGTACAGATACTAATGAAAAACACAATATATATTGTTGAAAAAGTAGAACTTGGGTAGAAATCTGATCCTTTCCAATACAAAAGTATCATCACAAATCAACATCAACTACAGAGTTTCTATAAAATATTATTCACAATTGTTAAAAACAAAATAAAATTGAGATAAAAGACATGGTGGAAATAAATTAACAGCTAAAGTGGTCCAGATTCAATATAATGGTAGAAAAGTATGCATACAAATAAGAGCACCTCTAAATTTATGAGAAGGAAATTACCAAGCTGTGGTGCAAATACAGCACCCTGACTGACCCTACCAACTCTAAATCAAAAGATGTCAAATTCAATAAAATAAACAGAAAGCTGGCATGAAGCCACTTGGCACTCACCCACTGGAGAAGCAAGAGTGACAAATATCATTTAAATTGTTTCCATGCTTGAAAACATAATCCTCGAGGCCTGACTTCAGACGTTCAACATTTGATGCAGCAGAAGTTAAAGGAAAGCAATCATTTGCTGGAACAAGAGTTTTACATCGTGATCCAGAAATGTCATCACTTTCTTCTACCAACATTTCAATTGCAACATTCTACGCAAGAACCAGAACAATAAGCCAGTCAGCATCAATTTCACACCTAAAATTTCACGATCAACAAAACCTGATACAATATGACTAAGCTAGACAGCACAATTTGCAACTGCAGAAATGATAAGATACCATGACCCAAAAAACCATCTAGAAGTTTAAAAAAAAAACAGAAATTCAAATTATTGAGCATTCAAAGTAAATTGAACTTACAGGAATCCTCAAAATGAGCATCTGCAAAAATAATTGCAATATAGTAATCAGAGTAACTACGAGGGATAGGAGGTGGGAAAAGAAAAGAAAAAGAAGAAGAAAAAAAAACAGAAATCACACTAGCCTTGGAGAGAATGAAGAATTCTGGACCATGAATAGGGATGCAATGGAGTACCTTATCGAGAAAGTAAGTGAGCTTCACCAGTAAGCCATCAACACTTCCGAATACGGAGAAACTTACTTCAGTTCCACTGGAAGAAAAGTAGTTAAACAGTTGTCAATAAAATAATTTACAAATGAACAAGGAGAAAGAAGTGTAGCAAGTTGCATGCCTGAATGTTGTACCATTCTTAGAGCTTGAAGGTAGCTTTGTCAGCCTTCTGGTAGAAACAATTTCTTTTAGATTCAGATGATAGTAATATATATCACTATCATTGATACCTGAGACATTAACAAACAAATGCAGAGGGATGAAAACAGAAAAAAAAATATTGAAAATTTAAAATAGATAAAACAGTCTCATGCACGTGGGAGGTAAGGCTGTGTACATCGTACTCTCCTCAGACCCCATGCACTGAGACTACCCTTTAGCCTACTACTATACTACTACATTGAAAAGCAAAAACTATGATTGAATTATTTCCTAAAAAAAATTTCCATTGTTTTCCCTTCTAAAATATGTGTCCCCTCAGGTTTGAGAATTCTTCGATGTTTAAGAAATCACTTCAAAGAACATTAACACTGAGAGAATATAACTTACCAGTAGTTGTGAGAGAAATCACTCCATCTGTAATGCATGATAAAGCAGCACGTCAAAGAGACCAACAAATGATACCATAAAGTGCTTTCACAGAAATTGAATTCAGTTGGCATGTAAGGAATCTATACTTCAATTAATGCGTCATCTGATCATATATGCATGTAACTTCTAACTTCTGAGTTGGTAAGCCTTGCTAGGAGTTTGACGGCCTGACCATTACCTACTTTCCCTCATGACAACATGCTTCCTCATAAACTATCAGCCAATTAAATCAGTGGGAAATCCCAACAGAAAATAATGGCTTGATAAGTGTTAATAACACAAATCAAATGGGTCGGTCCAAGGTGGAGATCAAGAGATATGTAACATTGAGTTAGCATCATGGATACACTTGTATTACTTGCAAAAGTAAATTTGCATTAGGTTTTGCTCAAATAACGAGGAAAGTGCTTGTCATATTCAAACTAAATGGTACTGGAAAAGAATCCAAAAAATAAATAAAAATGCATTAGAATTTAGAAGAAAATGAAATGAATAATGTATATTTGTTCCAAATTCCAGCCAAGAATGACATTGAATGAATAAATTCCATGGCCACAAGAACTACAGTAGTACAGTGTAGTACACGTCTTAACAAATTAATGGATGTGAACTTGATTTCCAGTTCTGATTCCCCCCTCAATACCAATTTTTCAAATGCACGATTTTCTAATTCCATATTTAATTTAAAGGTATAAGACATCACCCCACCTAAACCATCTGCTTCCATTGAGATACCAAATTGCTACCGACTATTGAGCTCAAATTCAACCTACATATCAGTCCCCTTTACATTTTTAAGACAAACAATGAGATACAATTTACTGATGAATGTAGAGGAGAGACAATGTATCATTCACTTTTTACCCCATTTTTCAGCTGATTCAGGATCCATTGCGTATTTCAAGCACTGGAACTCCTCCAAGCAGCTCCCAACGCCCGTATCTGAAACTGGTGATAATAAATGCAAAAATGATCTCATCATGCCACCAAAATTCAAATTACTGAACACCAACTCAATTTTCAAGTTTGTGGAATAACAGTTGAATCCTTTCTAAGCATGAACTTGCAGTTCACATACAAAATTTGACAGGGCAATCTTTGTGCTTCAATCACTGAAATTGCAGCAAGTACACACAACATGAAGATCGTATGCAAAAAATGCAAATAACTAATATAAGTAGATTCCGAGACCATATTTGAAAGCCACAAAATAAATTATAAAAAAAATTGAGGAAAATAAACATGATTGAGTAAAAATTTGATTAAAAGCTTGATATGATATGGAACACTTCAATCCTTAATACAATTTTTTCTCATCAAATCCTCCAAAACTTATCGTAAAAACCT